ACACACACACACACAGTTAGCTCCTCCTCCTCCCAGCTCGAAGACTTGACCCTGACCTCCGACGCCGGCGCCGGGTCGCCACCATTGAGTCCTCCACAGGAAGTCACTGTAAATAACCACAAAGCCAAAAGTTTCTCTTTTTGTTATTTTCTCGGGGTGGGGGGGGCGGGGTTTAAACATTCGTGCCTGGGCTGGATTTCGTTCGTTCGCGCTCGTGTCTTGACTCCTGATCCCACCGCAGGTCGCCGGGACTCGACCTGTCGAGGGGGTCAAGCTGATGCTGACGCTGTCTCTGTTCCTCGGCCCGGCAGACGAAACGAACGTCCGCCGCCATCCTCCGTCATCGGAGTGCTAAATAAGTCGCCAACCGCCAGCTCTCGTAGTGGTAGAAGCCTCGCTTACGCAGACGCACCGCAGTCTCCCTTCCTCCTTCGCTGTCTCGCTCCTTCTTTTTGTGGACTTTGCCGGAATTTTCAACACGTCGCCTGGAAGTTTTGGCTTCCGCCACATGTTGTGTGGATGTTCGCCGCCGTCGGACGATGTCATCCGTTGCAGGACCTGCCAGCTGAGCGGCTACTGGACCGCTCCTTCCTCGACCGGCGAACCACCAGACTCAACACTTCAAGTTTTCTGGTTTTGATTTCACCCGAACTACCTTAAACCGTGACGAAGGGACCGGGGATGTTTGTGTCTGTGTAGGTTTTAGCAATCAGACTTTGTGGAGACGCTCGGACTCTTCCAGCAGCAGTCGAGCGGTCGGAGCTCGGTAGACGCAGACGCTTTACCCCTCCACGCCTGCGGCTGTCAGGACTCTCAAGGGAAAATGTTCTCTGTTTGTGTGTTTTGAAGTGTGCACTGTCTGTGTGTGTGTAGCTTGTTGTATCTGCATCATGAAGTGTTCAAACACCATCAGCAGGTAACGAAACAAACGCCGCAACATCCGGCTAACAAGTTCTCAAACCGTCAGTCAGTCTACTGTACAAGTTCTTTACTCTGGTGTTTAGACAGAAATCATGTTTCACATCCTCCACAAGCATCAGTTTACCGCGTTAGCACTGTTAGTTTGTCCACTACAGAGACAGACGTGTTTAAGCTAGCTTAGCACAAAGACAGTAAGCAGGTCCAGGAGTTTCCACTCGGTCACCAGCAGTCACATAGCGGTCGGCGTCACGTTGACACATTTAACAGCGTCAGCGTTAGCATTAGCTCACTTTCTCACCGCAGATGTTTTTTTCCTTTAACCCGGGTTTAAATATTCTGGTGTGGAAGTTGCTAACTGGCAGAATTTGACAAAAGAAGATTATATTTTTTATCCGGAAACCTTTAGCAGCTGTAGCTAGCTAGCTAATTAAGCTAACGTTAGCT